TCAGGAGTTCAAGACCTGCCTGGCCAACATGGTGAAACCCTGTCTCTACTAAAATACAAAAAATTAGCTTGGCGTGGTGGTGCATGCCTGCAGTCCCAGCCACTCAGGAGGCTGAGGCAGGAGAATCACTTGAACCCGGGAGGTGGAGATTGCAGTGAGCCGAGATTGAGCCACTACACTTCCGCCTGCAGACAGTGAGACCATCTCAACAAAAAAAGGCAAATGGAATTCAGCATTATAGAAAAAAAAGATATACCATGAACAAGGGGATTTAACCCTACGAATGCAAGGCTGGCTTAAATCAAAAGTAAATTAATATGCCATATTAATAGGTTAAAGGACAAAAACTGAGCACTTCAAGAGATGCAGCAGATATATTTTATAAAATCAACACCTGTTCATGAAACAAATATAATACTAGAAATACAAAGTCCCTTCCCCAGCCTAATAAAAGCTATTTTCAAAAAGTCCACAGCTAATATTATATATGATACTTAATGGTAAAAAGGCTGAATTCCTTCCCCTGAAAGATCAAGAAGGCAAAGATGCCTATTTTCGCTTTTATTCAACATTGTACTGGAGGTTCTAGCCAGTGCAATCAGGTGAGAAATAGAAGGCATACATACTAAATAATACCAACAACATGCTTTTCTATGTAGGAAATCCTAGAGAATCCATCAAAAAACAAACACACAAACACAAATAGATTTAATGAGTTTGGTAAGGCTGTAGAATACAAAATCAATATACACAAAATCTAAATACTTTTACAAATAAGTTTAGTAAGTGCACAACTTGAAAACTACAAAACATTGATGAAAGAAAGATATAAAGAAATGGAGAGTTATTTCATTCATGGACTAGAAGACTCAAGATGAACTCAGACCCTTACTTCACAACATACACAACAATTAAATTGAAAAAGAACTGCAGAGCTCAATGAAAGGGCTAAAACCAAAACTCTTGGCAGAAAACAGAAAAGTAAACCTTCATGCTCAAGCAAAAGTGATTTTAAAAATTGGTTGGAGTCCATCAAAATTCAAAACTTTGGTAGTATTAAGAAATCAGCCACCAGGAATAGTGGCCCACACCTGTAATCCCAGCAGTTTGGGAGGCCAAGGTGGGTCGATCACCTGAAGTCAAGAGTTTGAGACCATTGTGGACAACATGGTGAAACCCTGTCTTTGCACAGCAAAAAAAAAATTAGCCAGGTGTGGTGGCAGGCACCTGTAATCCCAGCTGCTCTGGAGGCCAAAGCAGGAGAATTGCTTGGACCTGAGAGGCAGAGGTTGCAGTGATCTGAGATCACACCACTGCACTCCAGCCTGGGCAACCAGAGCAAACCTCCATCTCAAAAACAAAATAGGCTGGGAGCAGTGGCTCACACCTATAATCCCAGCACTTTAGGAGGCCAAGGCCAGTGGATCACTTGAGGTCAGGAGTTCGAGATCAGCCTGACCAACCTGGTGAAACCCTGTCTCTACTAAAAATGCAAAAAATCAGCTGGGCATAGTGGCAGGCGCCTGTAATCCCAGCTACTCTGGAGGCTGAGACAGGAGAATCACTTGAACCTGGGAGGTGGAGGTTGCAGTGAGCTGAGATCGTGCCATTGCACTCCACCCTGGGCAACAAGAGTAAAACTCTGTCTCAAAACAAAACAAAACCCCACACACAATTAAAAGCAGTCCTGGATTAATGTGAGTATTCCTTTTTTTTTTTTTTGAGATGGAGTTTCACTCTTGTTACCCAGGCTGGAGTGCAATGGCACGATCTTGGCTCACCGCAACCTCTGCCTCCTGGGTTCAGGCAATTCTCCTGCCTCAGCCTCCTGAGTAGCTGGGATTACAGGCATGCACCACCATGCCCAGCTAATTTTTGTATTTTTAGTAGAGATGGGGTTTCACCATGTTGACCAGGATGGTCTTGATCGCTTGACCTCGTGATCCACCCGCCTCGGCCTCCCAAAGTGCTGGGATTACAGGTGTGAGCCACCGAACTGGGCCTGACAACAAAGGAATTAAAACTTCTTTTAGTGAGGAAAAAAAAAATCCTGTGCCTCACCGTGCCCCAAAGTGAAATGAAAATACAAATTACTAACAGCAAAGAATGTAACAAAAAATTAATATGTCTAACAACATGGGAAATGTTTATGATATAAAATTTAAGGGGAAAAATCAGTATAAAATTGAATATACAGTAGAATCTCAAAAGTTTGCCTAGAAGAAAACTCGGAAGGACTAAATGTATCTCCGGGTAATACTTTTATTTTTCCAAATGTATGCAGTGAACACACGTTAATTCTAAAATCATCTTAAAGCTAAAGTTATCTATCCTAATGCCAGAAACCATATGTAGCTTTTTTCTTGAAAAAGGGATGGCAGCTGGGGGCTCGAATCCCCTTTCTCCTGGGAAGGACACTCACGGGTTCCTGGGAGGCAAAGTGGTGGACCAGAAAATGCTCAGCCTTGGCATCACCTCCCCTGGGGTTTCCAAATACTGGACTTCAGTTTCTTCATGGTGAAATGGGGATGCCCACATCCATCTCCCACGAGTTTTCTAAGAATTAAATGAGTCTGGCGGGTTGTAGGTGCTTAACGTAAGATAGTGCCGCCCTCTCTAGTCCAGGTGATAAGTAAAACCCCTAAGGAGCGGATTTTCCAAAATCGGGGCCCCATGCTCAGAAAGCCAAGGGTGCGGTGCTTGCTGCCTCCTTGTGGGAAAGTGGCTCCTTGCCTGGCGGAGTTGGAGGAATAAGTTCTCTGAGAGTAGGGGGACCGTTCCTTCTCCCAGCTCTGCCAAACCCACGTTGGGTGTACTCCCTTAGGGAGCCTGCAGCGGTGCAAATGCGAAGGAAAGCGGGCACGCGAGCTGGAACCTGGGGCGGTGCCTCTGGCGCGTCGCTATCTGGGAGAGCTACATGGAGAAGGCAAGCCACTGAGCACCAGTGCAAACCCGGGAGCTTTGAGAAAGTTTGAGGATCAGAAGAAACCGTCTGGCAGGCAGAGGAAAGGCCGGGGCTCACCTCCTGAGGTTGAGTATCCCCGTCGGAGGGAAGCTGCACCGAGAACCTGGGTCGATTGATTCAGCTTCTACTCCAGGAGCGGCAGAAGTCCCGCCCTGCTTGGTAACTGGCGGTCAACTCCTTCAGGTCACACCTGAGGCAAAAATGCAAGCGAGTGGAAACTTTCTGCCTTCAGGTCAAAATTGGGCGTGAACTCTGCCTTTTTATCTTTTTATCCTTTTTTTTTTTTTTTTTTTTTCCATGTCTGGTGGGGAAAAGTAGGTGGTAAATGGACCTTTAAAGCCCCGCAGGCATATCCAATTTCTACTTGGTTAGTGAATGCTTTTCTAAGTCCTAGACCAAGATGGGATCTAGGATAAGAGATTCCACTGCTTTTTGTTGCAAAAGGATTAGTGTCACAGATCCAAAAAAGCAACTCATTTTGTTCTATATTGTGAAAAATTTAAAACACAAAACTAAAAATATTAGTGTTACCTGGGGTTACCGTTTTAGACATCTTTCCTCACCATGTGAGAAAATAGTATCAAAATGTTAAATCGGCTGGGCGCAGATCATCTGAGGCCAGGAGTTAAGAGACCGGCCTGGTTGGCATGGTGAAACCCCATCTCTACTAAAAATGCAAAAATTAAAGAAAAAAAGAGAAAAGTTCCTAGTTTACATGAGGGTTCACTCTCAGTGTTAGGATAATTTCTTTTTTCTTTTTTTTTTTAATTTTTTTGAGGCGGAGTCTCGCTCCATCACCCAGGCTGGAGTACAGTGGCACCATCTTACCTCAGTGCAATCTCTGCCTCCCAGATTCAAGTGATTCTCCTGCCTCAGCCTCCCAAGTAGCTGGGACTACAGGTGCATGGCACCACTCCCAGCTAATTTGTATTTTTTTTTTTAAAGATGGGGTTTCACCATGATGGCCAGGCCATCATGAACTCCTGACCTCAGGTGATCCACCCACCTCGGCCTCCCAAAGTGCTAGAATTACAGGCATGAGCCACCGAGCCCGGCCCAATATTTTGTATTTTTAATAAAGACGGGTTTTCACTGTGTTAGCCAGGATGGTCTCGATCTCCTGACCTTGTGATCTGCCTGCCTTGGCCTCCCAAAGTGCTGGGATTACAGGCATGAGCCCCCACGCCTGGCCTGGTGTCCACTGTGTTTGATGGATGACTGAAATAATTTTTTTTTTTTTTGAGACAGGGTGTCTGCTTCTTTGCCCAGATGGGAGTGAAGGCACCATTACGGCATTTCAGCTCAAGGTACCTAAACCTGCCTGGCTCAAGTGATTCTCCCACCTCAGCCTCCTGAGTATCTGGGACTAAGCGTACACCACCACACCTGGCTAATTTTAAAACTTTTTTTGTAGAGACAGGGTCTCACTATGTTACCCAGACTGGTGTTGAACTTCTGGGCTCAAGAGATCTTCCACCTAAGCCTCCTAAATTGTTGAGGTATGAGCCACCCCTCCTGGCCTAAACTGAAATTTGTTCAGATAACTCAAAGACCCGAATCAAAGTAGTGTACTCGCAGCCAGTTTGAACCCCTGGAGTAGTATGCCCAGCCACAGAGCCAGGCTGCAATGATGGTAATGCGTTAGGAATCAATTCAATTTATTTCCTTAGCTCTAAAACTATGGCAGGCCAGTCACTGTGGTTTATATGCCTGTAATCCCTGAACTGTGGGAGACCGAGGCAGGAGTTGGAGACCAGCCCAGCAACATAGGGAGGTCTTGTCTTTACTAAAACATTAGCCTGGTGTGGGGGCCCAAACCTGTAGTCCCAACTATTCAGAGGGTTGTGGCCAGAGTATCTATTGAGTCTAACAGATCAAAGCTGCAGTGAGCAGAGATCGCACCACTGCACTCCAGCCTCGGTGACAGAGGTCGAAAACAAAACAAAACAAAAAAAAACTACAGCAAACATTCAGAAGACTGTGTAGACCAATGAATGTCTCTCAAGCCAGTGATTTTTTTTCTCTTTATTTTTCACACCGGGCAGGAAGTGTGCCCATTTCATAACAAGGTTTGAGGAAGGTACATTTGACACAGGACCATGAAAACCCAATCACACTTATGACCTACAAAAGGATAGAGTCAATGATCTTTAAGCTGTGGCCATTAAATACGTTTTGTGAGCTGAGTGTGGCTCAAGCCTGTAATCCCAGCACTATGGAATCTGGAGGTGGGAGGATCACTTGAGTCCAGGAGTTTGAGACCAGCCTTGGCAATATACTGGGACTCTGTCTCTATTAATTTTTTTTATTAATTTTGTGGCTTACAACCATTTAAAAAACTAAAATAAGCTTAAATATATCAAAATGCTGCTTACATATTAAGGATAAATGCTGTTTCGTCAATCTGTTCTTTCAAGATTTTTATGTGTGGATTGGGTCACCTTGTAATAGTGACTTAGCTTTATGGGTCACAGTTAAAACATTTCCGGTGCAGTGGCTGGAGTCTGTAATCCCAGCACTTTGGGAAACGGAGGCAGGAAGATCACTTGAAGCCAGAAGCCAGGAATTCAAAACCAGCCTGAGCAACACAGCAACACCACATCTCTTTAAAAAGGGGAATAAAAAAAGGTTTCCAAGGCACTGAGATGCCAGGAACCTGAGGTGGGTGTGCAGTAGGGGCAGGAGCAAAGTGGGAGTTTGGGAGAAGTTCCACGCCTAGAAAGGAATACACCAGACCGGGCGCGGTGGCTCACGTCTGTAATCTCAGCACGTTGGAAGGCTGAGGCGGGCGGATCACCTGAGGTTAGGAGTTCAAAACCAGCCTGGCCAACATGGTGAAACCCTGTCTCTACAAAAATACAAAAATTAGCCAGGCATGGTGGTACGTGCCTGTAGTTCCAGCTACTGGACGGCCGAGGCAGGAGAATCGCTCGAACTAGGGAGGCGGAGATTGCAGTGAGCCGAGATCACACCACTGCACTACAGCCTGGGCGACAAGAGGAACACTCCGTCTCTTAAAATAATAATAAATAAACAAACAAACAAACAAACAAATAAATAAAATACAGGATCGCGCGTTGACTACTTCAAGGCACACACCCACGGTTCAGAGAACCTCTAGGCTAACTGGAAAGGTCCCGCCCTCAACGCCCGCTGGCCAATGGCTGTGTGAAATCAGGACGCGGTGGGCGGAATAGAGGATCGGGGGCGGGGCTGGCCTCGTGCGGGCTCCTTAAGTAGCTGATGCGTGGCTGCCCTGGCACTTTAGTCTTACGACCACACAGTCGAGTTGAGCAGGGCCGGACGACAACGGCGTTGGACGAGACCATTCTTGGAACCATGTCCCAACACGGAGAAGCCCCCAAGGCCTCTACATGGGTCGTTGCTGGCCGACGAAGTTCGACGGCGTCCCGGGCGCCAGAAAGGAGGTTGGCGGAGGAGTTGAATCGAGGAGGTTCGGAGGGATATAGGGTCGTCAGAGGTGGCTGCTGGAGAGGTGCCTCTAGGCCCCCGAACGCCGTGGCCGCTGGTCACAGGGAACCGCCGCTATGTTTTGCTTTGAAGAACCACTTTGTCGGCGCGGTGATCGGTGAGAAAGGGTGTGGCTGGCTGGGCAGGGCAGGATAGGTGGGACCAGGGGCGGGGCCTGGGCGAAGGCATTCCCTCCCTACGGCCTCGCCTCCAATCAGCTGCCACCTAGTGAGGTTCAGGTCTTAAGGGCTATTTCTAAAAACCGGCTAGAATATAATCTTATCTGGCCGGGCGCGGTGGTTCCCGCCTGTAATCCCAGTACTTTGGGAGGGCGAGGCGGGTGGATCACCGGAGGTCAAGCGTTCCAGACCAGCCTGGTCAACATGGCGAAACCCTTGTCTCTACTAAATACAAAAAAAGTTGTCCGGGCCTCGGGGCTGTAGTGCGCCTGTAATCCCAGGTACTCCGGAGGCTGAGGCATGAGAATCACTAGAATCGGGGCGGCAGAGGTTGGCAGTGAGCCGAGATTGTGCCACTGCACTCCAGCCTGGGTAACAGCAAGACTGTCAATTAAAAAAGTAACTTGATCCACCTTTTGATGTTTATATAACGTATTTGGGAGAGCAACTCCTAGAAGGCTTTTGAAATCTTAGGGCTGGCTAGGCCCTGTGGCTCACGCCTGTAATCGCAGCACTTTGGGATGCTGAGGCGGGTGGATCACCTGAGGTCAGGAGTTCGAAACCAGCCTGACCAAAATGGTAAAACCCCATCTCTAAAAAAATAATTCTAAAAAATGAAATCATAGGGCTGAAGAGGGAGGCTTAGAACAGGCTTTTTGACAGCTAACCCAAGAATGAGAAACAAAACTTATTCAGTCTTTGAGTACCATTTAGAGCCAGTAATCAAAGAAAAACCAAACGATTATTGTAGGGCTGTGTAGAGCAGTTGTATCTTGCTTTTAGTTTATTTTACATGTTTTAATTAATTTAAAAAAATTTCTTACTACATCTTTTTTTTTTTAAGAGATGGAGTTTCACCATCTTGGCCAGGCTGGTCTTGAACTCCTGACCTCGTTATCCACCCATCCCATCCTCCCAAAGTGCTGGGATTACAGGCATGAGCCACCACGCCTGGCTCTTACTACATCTTGAGTGTTAACATTCAATTCTGAATTGTAAATTTTTTTGTACTGTTGATTTATTTTTTGAGACAGCTCTGTGACTCCGGCTGAGTACAGTGGCATGGTCTCAGCTCACTACAACCTCCACCTTCCAGGCTCAGTCAAGCAATTCTCATACCTCAGCCACCCCAGTAGCTGGAATTAGACGTGCGCCACCACCCCTGGGTAATTTTATGTTTTTAGTAAAGATGAGGTTTTGCCATAGTGCCCAGGGCGGTCTCAAATTCCTATGGATCCGCGGTCTCTGCCTCCTAAAGTGCTGGGATTACAGGCATAAGCCACCATGCCTGGCCCATTTTTGAATTTTTTTGAAAAGCATTTTAAAAATTATTAGAATGACTACCCCATTGGTTGCCATTAAGCCAGAATATAAGTTGCCACATTTTACCTATTAGATCAATTTTACCCTTTTTAAAATCTGAGAAAAATGAACAGTTGGAGGCTGCTATAAAATAGTGCATTATAAGACTAACTGCTATACCACTCAGATTCATTGGTCCTTCAGAAAACTTGGGTTTAAGATCTGAAGAATGATGCTCCATAAAAGAAAGCCACTGGATTTGCTATAAAAATCACTTAACACTTAGCAGATGTAAGGGCACTGTGCTACGGAACACTCACTTAATGTTGGATCTGGATCCAACTTTTTTATTGTTAAATTATCCTCTTTTAAATGTATATCACAATAACAAAAGCACAATGTTGTATCCCAGATCTCTGGAACTTGCATGACTAAAACTATACCCATTGAACAGCTCCCCATTTTTTCCTGCCCCATCCCAGGGAACCACCATTTATATCGTTTTGGAGTGAGATTACTTTAGATAATCCATTTAAGTAGAATTAATGCAGTAATTGTCCTTGTGATTGGCTTAACTCTCTAAGCTTAGTATCTTCCAGGCTTATCCGTTTTGTAGCTTGAGACAGGATTTTCTTCTTTACTAAGGCTGAATGGTATTCCATTATTATGTATCTATCTCAGTTTGTCTATTAATGGGTCTATCATAAATGGGTAGCTTCCACCTTTTGACTTGAGTGGTGTTATTACGAAAATGGGAGTACAATATATCTTTTGAGACCCTGCCTTCAATTCTTCTGGATGTATACCCCAATTGGGACTGCTGGATCATATGTTCTATTTTTAATGTTTGGGAAAAACAATACTGTTTTACATAGTGGTAGCACCATTTTACAATCCCACTAACCGTACACAGAGGTTCCAATTTCTCCACATCCTTAGCAACAGTTATTTTCTGTTTTTAATAGTGGTCCTTACCAGATGTGAGACGACAATAATTTTGTGGTTTCGAATTTGTGTGAACCTGATTAGTGACGTTGAACATCTCCTTAGGCCTGTTGGCCATTTGTATGTCACTGGAGAAATGTCTATTTTTAAGTTTTGTCCATTTTTCCAATTCTATATCCTCTCCACCAGTTTGGACCCAATTAGGTTTTGTTCGAGCTGATATATAATTTGTAGTCTCCACCTCTGGGATAAGAGCCTCCTAAAACCCACCAAAATTTGGAGTAGAACCTGTTACTTCCCTCTTTCCAAATAAAAAGTGATTGTTGAACCCTAGGAGCATTTGTGGATAACAAAAGAATGTTGAGGAAAATGGGTAAATTTTTAACTTACTGATTTCAACTGATAATTGTATTTCTTTTATTTTTAAATACAGGTCGTGGTGGGTCGAAAATAAAGCATATACAAAATACAACAAACACCATAATCCAAGTAAGTCATCTGTGTTCTTCAGTCCTTAAGAGAGCATCATGCATTTCTAAGGGAGCAGCTAACTTAATTTTTTTTTTTTTTTTTTGGAGACAGAGTCTCCCTCTATCACCCAGGCTGGAGGGCAGTGGCAGGATCTTGGTGCACTGCAACCTCTGCCTCCCGGGTTCAAGCAATTCTTCTGCCTCAGCCTCCAGAGAAGTGTTTGGATTACAGGTTCCTGACAGCATGCCTGGCTAATTTTTGTACTTTAAGTGGAGACAGGGTTTCACCATGTTGGCCAGGCGGGTCTTGAACTCCTGATCTCAGATGATCCACCCGCCTCAGCTTCCCAAAGTGCTGGGAATGCAGGCCTGAGCCATGTTTGGCCAGAACAAGCATTTTGAAACAAATTATTTGCTTCCCTTTCCTGTGTAAAAACATTTCACAATATATCAGGCCTGTAAGTCTATACTCTTTAAAATTGTTGACTTGAGCTGACCTGTGCACCCTCTCCAGTCTCTTTCCTAATTCCTTGAGTACTCCACCCACTTCCTGACACACCCTGCTATCATAGCTATTTCCACATAAATAATTCCTGCTCACCTTTTAGGAAAGTCTAAGACCCTCGTTCTGTGTAATTGTCCCTTCCCATAGTACCCCATAATGGCCTTGCTTCAGTACTCATACAGAGTTGTAGTGCCTGTAAATACTATAGATGGTAAGCATTGAAATACCAACCTAAGACAAAATTTGGTGTGTAGTATTTTCTAG